TTTTTTAATAGCCAGGCATGGTGGCACACTAGTGTAGTCCCAGGTATGCAGAAGGCTAAGGCAGGAGGATTGCTTGAGCCCGGGAGGTCAAAACTGCAGTGAGCCATGATCACAACATTGCTCTCCAGTCTGGGTGACAGAGCTAGACCCTGTCTCAAAAAGAAAAAGAATTCTAGAAGAGGGAGAGATCAGTGGAGAGCCATGAGATCCAAGAAGACTGACTGAAGAGATGGGATTTGAATCCAGCTCTGGAAGATACGTAGAATCCGGATGGACGAGGACTGTAGGGGCATTTCAGGCAGTGGAGATGCTGTGAACAATTGGCATTCAGCTGGGTGTTATGGAAAGGGAGAGGCTCCCTGCCTGAGGTAAGTTGTGCTTAGGAATAACAGAGGCAGTATGGTTGGCTCAAACTTCATTAGCTAAACAAATAATTACACAAGTCTGAAACAAAAATGGGAACTCAGTCTCATTACAGGGAGCCTAGCCTGAAAGCTATTGTTTCCTTATTTTTTTGTTTGTTTGTTGTTTTTGGTTTTTGTTTTTTTTTTTGAGACAGGCTGGAGTGCAGTAGCACAGAAATGGCTCACTGCATCCTTGACTTCCCAGGCTAAGGCAATCCTCCCGCCTCAGCAGTCCGAGTAGCTGGGACCACCGGTGTGCACCACTATGCCCTGCTACATTTTTTACTTTTTTTTTTTTTTTTTTTTGGAGAGACAGGTTCTCACCGTCTTTCCCAGGCTGGTCTCAAACTCCTGGGCTCAAGTGATCCTCCCGCTGTGGCCTCCCAAAATACTGAGATTACGGGCGTGAGCTACAGCGCCGAGCCCCGATGTGTGTGTGTGTGTGTGTGTATATATATATATTTTTTTTTAATGCTAAAAGGCTAGATTAATAAGCTGTGATCCTTGTTTATAACAAGTGCTAGAAATAGGACACAGAAAATTGGAGTTGAGTTAATTTCAGAGCTTAACCAGGCAAACAGGTGAAGCCAGTGGTGATGTGCTTGCTGAAGACAAAAATAGCCTTATAGTGGTGGTGGTGATGATATAATTTCTAACTGACTAAGGTTCTTTGAATGGTTGTAAACAAGTGGGATACAAAGCAACTGCTAAATGCAATATTTTTAACCTTTTAAACTCCTTGGGTAGAGTTAGACATTTTAAAAAACTATAAAAATGAAGTCACTGTGGTACTAGTGTTATCTTTTTTGGGTAGACAGTGAACTTAGGAAATGAAGGGGAAAGATGTACAGTACTTCTCTAAAGGAGGAACACTTCCTTAGTGATCAGTGCTGGGGTGGGTTCATGTGTTTTTCTATTAAGGTAAGATCTCCAGATTGGCTGCTGACAGCAGATTACTTTGGGGGAAAGAACTCTGGATTGGTTACTGGCCTAACGTGCATTCAGGTACCAGTTCCACCTTGCTCCCTGATCTGGGCAAGCTATTTCACCTTTCTGAGCCTCTGTGTCCTCCACATAAGGGGATGATACCCCCTACCGCATGGTTAGGAAGGAAAAGTAGTATCACTTGTGTAGAATGTGGCTTGCCATATAGCAGGTATTAGCAGACGTTGGGCCAGGATGCCTTTAAGTATGGAAAACAGAGAGATGGAGACTCTCACTATGAGACAGAGAGAGAGAGAGAGCGTGTGTGTGTGTTTGAAAAGAAAGGAATATGAGAGTTGGAAGTTCCTAAAGGTTGTCAGCCAGGTATGCTCTTTTTACCAAAAAGGCTTTGAGTACAAAATCATGCATGATTCCACCTTGATGTGAAACTGTGCTGTGCCTCATCAGGAATACTATGTGTACTTCAGATCATGCTTCCAAAGGGATCTGTTAGAACTGGCCAAGATCCCGAAAAGGGAACTGAGTCAGGCAAAAGAGCAGGACTCTTAAATGTGGAGAAGCAAAGACTGAAGGAAGCACAGGATCAGGATGTAGGAAACAGCCAATGGCCTGGAGGATTTTGGCGATGGGCACTGCAAGTAGATTGTGGCGTGACTGCGTTAGGACCAGTGTGAGGAGCACTGGATGAAATGGGCGTTTAAGAGGTGGTGTCGACAGGTATTGCAAGGGGATTTTTTAGGGATGAGAACTTGTGAAGACAAAGTCATAAGTGGCTCCTGTAGAAGCTGGACTGCGCCTCACCCCAGAGGTGAACCCCAGAGGCAGAGCTTGCAGTAAGCCAAGATCGCGCCACTGCACTGCAGCCTGGGCAACAGAGTGAGACTCCGTCTGAAAAAAAAAAAAGAGGCCGGGCGCAGCGGCTGACGCCTGTAATCCCAGCACTTTGGGAGGCTGAGGTGGGCAGATCACGAGGTCAGGAGATCGAGACCATCCTGGCTAACGCTGTGAAACCCCGTCTCTACTAAAAATACAAAAAAAAATTAGCCGGGCGTGGTGGCGGGC